ATGGATGGATGGATGGATGGATGGATGGATGGATGGATGGATGGATGGATGCATGGATGGATGCATGGATGCATGGATGGATGGATAGACAGACAGACAGACAGATAGATGACAGATGGATGGATGGATGATAGGTAGGTAGGTAGGTAGATGACAGATAGATAGATAGATAGATAGATAGATAGATATAGATAGATAGATAGATAGATAGATAGATAGATAGATAGATAGATAGATAGATAGATAGATAGATAGATAGATAGATATGGATGATGGATGGATGGATGGATGGATGGATGAATGGATGGATGGATAAATAGACAAACAGACAGACAGACAGACAGATAGATGACAGATGGATGGATGGATGATAGGTAGATAGGTAAGTAGATGATGACAGATAGCTAGATAAATAGATAGATAGATGATAGATAGATAGATAGATAGATAGATAGATAGATAGATAGATAGATAGATAGATAGATAGATATCCTAAACTTTAGCCCTGAAGGCTTCTAAAAGTTGCAATCAAACTGCAATGATTCCAGGTAGGCCTCGACTTACGACCGATAAAAAACTTTTTGGAAAAATAAAATAAAATAAAATCCCCCTGTGCATAAAACCGGAAACGCACAAAACGGCCGATGGCTTTCTGAAGGGATGGCTGGGGAGGCCGACACTCACTCTGGCATTCATCACAGAACCCGGGGCCCTTGACGTGGCAGGTGCTGTGGAAATGGCACCCGCAATCCAGGTTGCACTGCACTCCGCTGGGGGGAGGGGTGGCCCCCGTGATGAGTTCGGTGGTCCAGCCTAAGTCGCACAAACAGGTGAAGTTGGGGGCTCCGCTGCATTCTCCATGGGCGCACTCATCGTAGCACCTGGAGGGGTGGGGGGGGAGGACGAAAGGAGAATCCCATCAGTCTCTTACCTCAACGTTTCTCAACCTTGGCGCCCTTGAGATACGTGGACTCTGAAGGTCATTGAACGCAGGGATGTAGGTTGAGAACTAGCTGTACCTGTACATAACTGGCCTGGCTGAAGAATGCTGGCTGTGGAATTCTGGGAGTTGAAGTCCACCCCTCTTAAAGGGGACAAGGTTGAGAAACAATGCCGCCTGGGGGATTCTGGGAGTTGAAGTCTGTTAGGGATGACATTGTTTACCCTAACTGGTTTGGGTAAAAAAATAATAAATAAGTTATCATGGTTTGTTGGTTAAAGTGTGTGTAACTTTAACTACAAGAATGTAATTAAGGGTGTGGTTGTAAAAGCACCATAAAAGAAGCAAGTCAATTGCAGCTCTCTCTCTCTGGCTTAATGATCCCTTATTACTGGATGGATTGATGACTGCGTTTTTCCTTACTGGAACGGAGGAGAGAAAGGAGTGTTGATTTCTCAACGGAGAGAAGAGATAATACGGACTGATTTATTGTAAGTGAACTGACATTGGCTATTCAACACGGATTTTGTAAATTGAGTATCCCCGACTGGACTGATTGAAATGATACATGACTAATAGACCGTTTATTTTGACTATGCTATAATTCCTAATGGAATAAACTATATTTTTGATAGCACAAGCGTATCTGTTTTTTACTGCGTGTTAACTAAAATACAAACTTATCTCACACATTTACCTGTCTGCCTATCTGACTACGCTACACATTCTGTTTAGTTTGTTTTCCTTAACACTCGTTGGGGAATTCAGGCTTAACAAAGTCCACCCCTCTTAAAGGGGACAAGGTTGAGAAACAATGCCGCCTGGGGGATTCTGGGAGTTGAAGTCCACCCGACTTAAAGGGGACAAGGTTGAGAAACAATGCCACCTGGGGGATTCTGGGAGTTGAAGTCCACCCGTCTTAAAGAGCCAAGGTTGAGAAACAACGCTGGCTGGGGGATTCTGGGAGTTGAAGTCCATGCACCGCAAAGGTGCCATGGTTGAAAAACTGTTCTACTTGGTCCAATTTACTCAACTTAGGTGTGCAACCATTGAAAACCAGAACTGCTAACCAAACAAAGAAAGATTGTTTAAATTTTTCAGGATTGAGGGTTCTCGATCCTTGTTGCTTTTATCCTGATGGTGTTACCTGTATGGGTCATGAAACGTCTGCAAGAAAATAACCAAGCTCAGAGAGTACCAAGGATCTCTCATTTCAGCCCCGAGCTACAATATTCTCCTTTGTTCCAAGGATTAAAAAGGCAAACAGGAAAACCAATCTTTAAATAAAATGGCTTGCTATCAAAAGTTTAATATATAAGGGCACTGTTAATATACCAAAGGAAAACAAAAAAAAATCACAAGCAAACTGATAAAAACATTTTTAGATGGAAAGGTAATCTTTGTCATTTTCTCCTCCCCCACTCCAAAAAAAAACAAACAATCATTCATGCCCTTACAAACTAAATGCTGTAATAAGCATTGTCTTAACATGCAGAGATTCTGATTAGAACCAGTCTGGCCAGCCACCTCAGTGAAGGACTGCCTTGTAAAACTGAAGATTAAACAGATTACAGCTGGCTACATGAGAGCTTTAAAGTTTCTCTGGATAACACTATAAATGTGAATCCTCTGGAAAACTTGGAAAGTATCAGGGAGGGAAGGAGGGGGAAGGGAAGGGGAAGGGAAGAAAGGAAGGAAGGAAGGAAGGAAGGAAGGAAGGAAGGAAGGAAGGAAGGAAGGAAGGAAGGAAGGAAGGAAGGAAGGAAGGAGAGAAAGGAAAAAGAGGAAAGGAAAAGAAGCAAGAAAAAAGGAGGGGGAGGAACGAAAGAAGGAAGGAAGGAAAAGGGAAAAAACGAAGGAAGGAAGG